TGCGTCCCCCACCCCACCGGGCAGGGGGAGGGTGAGCGAGTGGCGGTGTGGTGCTCGGTTGCCGACTGGGGTTCAACCACGACAGATGTGGATAATAGAAGATATTGAAAGCTTTTGAAGGACAAAGCTGTGTGTGATGGCACTGGCTTCTCTGAGTTCATAGAGCAGTTGCCCAGCCATGTATCTGAGACCACCCCGCGGTCTGTGTCTGTGCTCCTAGCTCTCTCCTCCTGACAAGCTGAACAGGTTTCCATGAAGAGGGTGTCAATCAAGAGCTTTAAATTCAATGGCTGTAGTTATGGGGTCAGAATTTCCTGGTTATATTTTGTTGTTCCCTACAGCTGGTCATCTCTTTCCTTCTGCTGTTTGCCCTGAGGGTTTTGAGGAATCTGTTTTTGAGGGTTGATGTCCTAATTCTTCTAATGTAGTTTGAAAATATCGTAAGGATGTGCCGTTCCTTTTCCACAAACGTGGTAGACACACACTGAAAATATTTGCGTACCTCCTGTCTTGTTCCTTCTGCACAGATTTATGTTCATGGCCTGTGGTCCAGTGCCCTGCTGACTATGTAAGCTGCTACTTTGCTCAGTGGTTTACCACTAGATGCATTAAATAAATATGCTTTATGTAATATTTGTGCTTGGGTTGTAATGATTTTGCCTGCTTCTGGACTCTAAACAAGTAATGCAACAAAAGTGGTCTGTAGAATGCAACTTGCTGCCAATAAACTTCTGTACTGGCATCCTCGTTTGTGTCCTGAGCTATTGAGGTTGGAGGAGGGAGATCGCCCTTGAGCGTCTTCCCTGAAAGCTAGACCTTGAAATGGCAAATGTAAGTTCCAGCTTCGATCAGACCTCTTAATATGGAGTGTGTGCGGGGCACATAATCTCGGGGCTACAAGATCCTTAAAGACCTTTCCTCCAGCAAAGATGACTGCCTCTGGGTGCTATGCCGTGTTGTTTGGAAGTATGGATTTTTCAGAACTCTTAAACTCTCAAGTTCCTCTCTGGCTCCTGGTGCAGTCGTTATTTCCCTCTCGTAGAAGACCGCTGCCACTGGGGGAGGTAATCTCTTGGTCATGGCCTGCTCACCTAGCTGGCTCAGAAACCTTTGGCTGCCCTCCCTTACGGTGCATCAGTGTCAGTAACCCCTTCCTGTGATTTTTTTTCTCCTCTGACAGTAGCTATTGATGGAAGAACACGGGGTGACCCAAACAGAGCACATGGCCACCATCGAGGCCCACGCAGTGGCCCAGCAGGTGCAGCAGGTCCATGTGGCCACCTACACAGAGCACAGCATGCTGAGCGCGGACGAAGACTCGCCGTCTTCGCCGGAGGACACCTCCTACGATGACTCTGACATCCTCAACTCCACGGCTGCCGACGAGGTCACCGCCCACCTGGCTGCGGCAGGTAAAGTCAGCAGGGTGCTCGGCGTCGTTCGCCTAACGTAGCGTCTGTGCAGAGGTCGCAAACAGTGCTTGAGCGCGGTGGGTGATCTTGTCGCCCCACGGGATGTGAAGGTGAATGCTTCCTTATTGCCCTGGCTTTAATAGCGCTGCTTCTCAAGGTCTCCTGGCTGCTTGAATCTTGCATGACTTTATCTGTGTGTGATATAGAGGTACTGGGAATAAGAGACTGGTTTGTACAATAAAAAAGGTCCCTGGTAAATGATGCCTCAAAAAAGGAAACTAAAATACCGAATATGTCAAAGAGCAAGCTTATTTCAGGCCCATATAAACAACCACAAAAATAACCCAGGAGTGCTATGCAACCCAGCTTACCCAGGGAGCTCACGTTCTACGCCTGTACCGAGGACATGCCACAAAGGGTCCTGGCACATCTGGACTGGGAAAGTATTTCAGAATCACAAACTCCTTCCAGTGAAGCCCTTGCCAGTTGTCCTCCAGATTTGCCTTGTAGTGGATCTACCTCATTAGCAGAAAAATGCAGTGATAAATAAGCTCTCAGAGACTGGTCTGACTCCGTATCAGACTTCATCTGATGAATAAAGCTCTTGATGTGCTTGACCGAACCTGTGAAGTTCCACCACCCCACTGAGCATCCCACGCCCTTTGCTTATTAATATTCCAACCTCAGCTCCTGCAGGATGTTTTCTTCCCCCTTCCCTTCTAGCACACAAGCTTTTCAGGCCTGGGTGGTCGTTGCAGGAGGGGGATCTGGTGGCTCTCGCCTGCCTGTGGGCCCTCCTGGTGCAGGGGCTGCCCGGTGCCCCCCCAGCTCCTGGCCAGCCGGGTCCCCCAAACTGGGAGCAGCCCTGCTTTGCTGGGGCAGGTGGCTGCAGTTCGCAGCATGGGCTGGCACATCCAGCCCAAAGCTTGCCTGAGAGCCCAGCAAGGCCCTTCCTCACTTCTCCGGAGCAAATGTTTTTCCAGTCCCCCAAATGGCAATGTTTGTATTCTTTTTTCACAAGCACAGGATCGTTGGAGCAGTACGCAGCGGTGCTTGCTGTGCCTGCCGTGGGCAGCGCTCAGGTAGTTTGTTACTGATTAACAAAACCTGGCTCTGTAGTGTCGCCCAGAGCTCTGTCCGTTACTGCGTCCTGTCTCCTGGAGCAGCTGCCTGAGAAAACGTATCGGACACTACTTTCATTATCATCTACCAGCTTCCACCGATCAGTAGCTTAGGACTTCCTGATCCAGTAGCTGCATCTTTGTTAAACACAAAAATATAGTGGCTTTTATGACCCCTGGTGTGATCTTTCACCTCTGACATATGGAGAAACTGCGCACGGAGCAACTGAGGTCTGCTCAGGAGTCAAAGGCAAGTCTTGAGCCTGCATTAGACCCCAGGGCTTTTTGACTCTGACCCTGCACTCATTTCTGGAGATCACCGATAGAAGCACAATCCACTGCATGTTACTTGGTTTACTTCCAATTAACTTAATGAAACTTCCCCTTACATAGACTCTGTGTCTAGAGTTTCAGAGTCATAGAATCATTAAGGTTGGAAAAGACCTCTAAGATCATCGAGTCCAACCGTCAACCCAACACCACCACGCCCACTAAACCATGTCCCTCAGCGCCTCATCTACCCATCTTTTAAATACTTCCAGGGATGGTGACTCCACCACTCCCCTGGGCAGCCTGTTCCAATCTTTAACCACTCTTTCAGTAAAGAAATTTGTCCTCACGTCCAATCTAAACCTCCCCTGGCGCAACTTGAGGCCATTTCTTCTCGTCCTATCGCTTGTTACTTGTGATAGGAAAGGGACTTACTAGGGAAAAGAGACCGACCCCCACCTTGCTACAACCTCCTTTGATCCTCGTTTGATCATGAAAGCAATAGTGCTGCCCTGCCATGGTCCCTGCTGTTCCTCAGGGGCTGTTGCAGGATGCTGCTGGGTGACTCTGGATTTACAGTTTCTTTCCCATCAGAGCTGGTCATTAATCCCTGGGGAAAGCCTTGGACTCCTGATGCTTTAGTTGAGGTGTCCGAGCAGGATTCACGGCATTGTACCCTGTCTCTTCTCCCCTGCCACCGGGATCTCTTCGACTGCAGTCAGTTAAAGTCTTGGCATACTTGAGAGTTTTTCAGTGTGTTTGGAAGACAAAATACATAATTTTGTGATTGCATGGAAAACTCTGGCCTGAAATGTGTGACTTTCACCTGGGACTGAGCTGGAACTTGCCAGTCTGGGGAATGGAGCCTTTCATACGCCTCTCTGATGCCGGAGAGGAGGGATCCCAGCTGCCGGGGAGCTCAACGGGGAATTCGGGTCACTCCGGTCTGGTGGGGAGGCCCTTGAGCTGAGCCCTTGGGACCCACCCCTGGTGGGGGGGGCAATGGCGACGTCCTTTCTGGCCAGTTCCTGAGTTGTGTGCGCTGATTCACCCGTTGTGGTTTGATTTCCAGGCCCTGTGGGGATGGCAGCAGCTGCTGCCGTGGCAACGGGTAAAAAACGAAAGCGACCACATGTTTTTGAATCCAACCCATCAATCCGCAAGAGGCAGCAGACGCGTTTGCTACGGTAAGGACTCCCGCCTGCACTCTGACACCTCGGTCTGCATCCTCGATCTGTCTCAGTGCCGCGCGCGGTGAGACCATGTGCTGTCCAGAAGCTGCCCAGCTTGGGGATTTTTTTGGACATCTTTTCTGGAACCCAGGAGCTCTGCTTAGTTTGCAGAAATGGGTTAAATTGCAGCTCTAATCATCTTTAATGTGATATTATGATCACCAGGACTGACATGACCATTCTGGTGGGATCCACCATTCTGTTTTTTTAACCACAGCTAGTTACAAGTTAAATCTGTCATGGTAACGTTGCCTTGCAAGATATTCGTAGTGGCTTTAACGGCAGCTGCCCTGAGAATCTGGAGCTACAGCCATATCCCAGCTCTGCAGTGGCACGAAGGTCTTCTCTACCTAACGAAAAAAGTCTTTTCTGCATTATGAAATGATCCCGTGAATAAGTCTAGTGTGTGTGTACCTGAATTTCCTTTGCCAGCAGACCCCGTTGTGTGAGCTCCACGCTGAAGACTGACCCAGCCTGTAGTGCACAGTGTGGGGGGAGAATAATTGAGGGGCGATGCCTGCCAGAGCTGAAACACTTTCTTTGGCTTTAGAAACTTGCTCTGTAGACACCAAACTTCCGTAGCCCTTCAGGTGTTGCATTACAGGTGCTCTGAGGCTGTCTGCCCGCCTGATGGCCACCTAGGAGCACTGGTGCTGAAGTGACTGCACAGGCTTTCCGCAAGCCTGGAGAGATCACCTGCAATTCCATCTTCAGGAAACATTTGTGAATATTGGCTGGTACTATTTACTAGGTTTTGGAACAAAGCAATTTTTGCTTTTTAAACTGTTTTCAATTTAACTGTGTTATCTCACAAGAGCTGGGGTATTTGTCACCCTGTTTCTTGCTGGCTTCCTCCTGTGACGGCCAGAGTTTCACCTTTTCTCCTTCTCTCCTATTCTAACCCTTGTAAAGTTTGTGAGAAATTAAGTTGGTTTCCTTATATTCTGCTTACTCATCTGCTGAGTCCCACAACACCCTTTGTACGTGATCAAACTGGAACAAAGTGGAGCAGGGTTAGTGTTAAATAATATTCCCTGGGGGTGGACTCCCTTTTTTTTATAGCTCCATTCTGTTTTTCCCTCCTTCCCCCAACTCCGCTGACCCAGCCATGTTTATTGCAATGTTTCTGAAGAGCAAATTCTTTTCTCTCTTGAAATGTGAACAATATATTTTTAAAGAAACTCCTATTTAAAGGAATTATTTCTTCTTCCTTCATGCAACTACTTCATTTTGCTACATGCAAGTTACTGACAAAATGCATCATTTTTTTGCACTCTGATCAGTTTGACATGTTTGTGGTTGACATTTAGACCACTCTGAATCGGGTGGGAAGTTACAGTTTCTGATTCTGGGATCTCTGCGTAGCTGGTGGTGATGTTGGTGCTTTTTGGCAACGTGTCTGCTGCTAACAGCAGGTTCTGAAATGACCAGGGCAGATACTAAACTGCCACCTTATGGAGTGCTCAGGTTATCTGGTGATAACCGCTACTTCTCTCTTGCTTTACGAGTTTCTGCCAACATTTCTGACACATTCTCTTGCACTGCTTAAAAGGGAATAAGAGGCGGAAAGTATATGATGGAAGATTTTTCTTCCTACAGAGAGACTGTTCCAAAGGGACTTGCTGCTGTGGCAGGTGTCTGAATACCTGGGTTTCCTGTGCTGAGCTGTTGCAATATTTCTGGTTCTTGCCTGTCCTGTAGTTGTAGGTTGAATTCTTACAGTTCTGGTTTGAGCAGGACTTTGGTACTAGAGAATTGCAATGCACTGTTATGAGGCTGGATGTAAAATAACCTGTGTTTGCAGTCCTCTTTTGTTTAATCATTCAAGTTCTTTACTTTACAAGTTTTGTATTGCTAATACACTTAGACGGTGACAGAGTGGATATGCAGACTCTTGCTGTCCTAGCTTTGCTGCTCTGGTGATTTCTCTTTACTTTTTACATCAATGGAAAAAGGAGAGAAGGGAGAATAATTGATATTTGAGCTGCTGGGTGACTGCAGGGAACACAGCAGGCCTGCAGGAGCAGAGGAGTAAGCAGTATATGTGGCTAGTCTGACCAGCTGGGGCTCCGTTTCTCACCTGGTTTGTGAATGGGTAGCATTAAGAAAGGGAGTTTACAATGCAAAGGGTTGTGTTTCTGCAGGGCTTTCAGCTGATACCTATTCACTGTTTTATATTGCTGTTTCAGGAAGCTCCGAGCCACGCTGGATGAGTACACCACCAGAGTAGGGCAGCAGGCCATCGTTCTGTGCATCTCGCCCTCCAAACCCAATCCCGTCTTTAAAGTATTCGGTGCTGCACCCTTGGAGAATGTGGTAGGTGTCTGTAGGAAAAGCTATGTAATAAATTGCTCACCTTCTCTGCAGGTTTCATTCTGCTCAAAGCAGCCTTGCAAGCCTGGTAATGATCTGAAGGTCATGTTTAAAACCCTGGAAACGGGAGTTGAGAGTGTATGGACATGAGTGTAGCACTCACGTCCTGTCTTCTCTGCGTGAATGGTTGCCTGGCACATCTCACCAGGGTTGAATATCCTGGATTAAAAATCAGAGGGAGCCGGTAGTGATGATGTGTTTGAACTCAGCTTGGCTGTCAGTGCTCGCACCTTGTGGCAGACCAGACAGTAAATGGAGCAGATCCTGACCATAAGTCTTGCTTCAGAACTTTTCTTTCAATCCCGTTAAATACTTCCACTTGCCAGTGTTACTTGGTATTTCATCATCAGCTCTTCAATGCGGCCAAGTCTTCGGGGCCAGTGGGTGTTTTTTTTCTTGCTAGCTGTGGTGTTGTTTGCTCCTTCTGTTCTGCAGCACCTTGGGGAAGGTGGCTGGCCTTGCGTCCTTGCCCTCGCCTCTCCTGGTGCTCCTTACCTTGTTTACCTGAGCTTAACGATTCCCCACAGGTACGCAAGTACAAGAGCATGATTCTGGAAGACCTGGAGTCTGCACTAGCGGAGCACGCTCCTGCACCTCAGGAGGTTAACTCTGAGTTGCCGCCCCTCACCATCGATGGCATTCCCGTCTCGGTGGACAAGATGACCCAGGTAAGCAGCCAGACATGGCAGAACCAGAGAGAGAGAGATTTGGCATCTTGCAGTCACATCCTGTTATTTTGCAGTGGAGCTTATGTTTACATCTCCAGGGGATGCATTTGATCTCTTCTTTCCCATGGGACTGTAACAGCTCAGATAGTAGTTAGAGGTGAAGCTTTGTTATTGGTTCTTATTTTCGACGTGAAACAGTAGAGATGCTGGTAAGGCCTAGAGCTCAGGCTGCTGGGAGCATTCCCCTTTGAGCTGTTTTTGTCACCTCCCATAAACTATGAACAGGGAAGATATTTGTTCTGTACTTTGCAGTGATTTTTAGGCACTGAGGTCAGGAAGGTCACTTGTGGAGCTTGCTGATGGTTTAACTCCAGGTCAGACCCTGAGTGGGATACTTCTGATGGAGCCAGGGAGTCATCTGCCCTAGGGGATGTGGGGGACTCCCTTTCTCTCCAGGTCCAGTCCTTTGCTGACCTCGTTATTGCTCGGAGAAAGTGGAGGGGACCCCCCCAGGGAAGCTTCCTTGGTGT